GGGGTGGAGCCCCCCAGCACGGCACGGCACGGCGCCCACCTGCCGCCCACCCCGCTGCTCACCTTCTCCGTCACGTACTGGCACCGCTTGAGGTCGTGGTCCCCATCGGGCAGGATCTCTGGCTCCACGATGGGCACGATGCCATTCTGCAAACACCAGGGAGATGCCATCAGGGGGATGACCCCAGGCATCACCCTTGCTCATGGTGATGTGGGCCAATGCCCAGACCTGGAAGGTGACGCTCAGCTCCCCAGGTTCAATGTCCCCCTCCCTTGCCACTGATGCCCACTCCAGTGGGGCAACGCCTGGTCCTGGGGGTCAACGCCCACCCATGTGAGGTGCTACCTAGCCCATGGGTTGACGGCCAGCCCCAGGGGGCAATACCCAGACACAGGGGCCACAGATCAGTGCCCATCCCTGTGAGGCTACACCTGGCCCCTTAGCTCTGCAGCCATCCCCTGGGTCTCTGCCCACCCCGTGGGGAGGTGCCCAACCTCAGCCGCGTACCTGCTGGCAGATGCTGGCGTAGCGGGCCAGGACGTTGGCGTTCTCCATGATGGCGAGCGCAGAGGGGGTGTTCTCACTGATCTTCAGCACGCAGCGCCACTTGGCAAAGTCAGCCCCGTCCTTCTTGTACTGAGCACAACGCTCAGCCAGCCCGTCCAGACCTGCCGGGCGCATCGTCAGCCCCGTGGCCCCCAGCCCCACAGCCCCCCCACCCCTCTGCCCGCTCCACCTACCCTGCGTGGTGGTCTCCCCATCCGTCCCAGCCAGCGGCACAACACCCTTGTCCACCTGCGGAGGGAAGGGGGAGGCGGCGCTGAGCCCCACCAGCACCCACCAGGCAACCCTCAGCACCCCACAAACCCAACCTCCCGCACCTTGATGCCCACAACGATGCCCTTGTCCTTGATCATCTGGACGAAGGGTGTGCCATCATCAGCCTTCTGGTACATGGTCTCGTGGAAGAAGATGACGCCCCCGATGCATTTCTCCACGCGGCTGTCGGCGCTGAAGAGGATCTGGCGGTACAGCCGGCGGTTCTCCTCCGTGTTCTCCACCCCGATCTGGTTGAGGCGCTTGGCCATGCTCCCTGCGGGCACCCAGCACCCTCAGGTGTGCTCCAAAGAGGCGCTGGGACAGATCCCACCCCCACACCCTGCCCCCGACACTGACCCACGGACTCATCGGCAGCCAAGATGCCCTTGCCCGGGGCCACGATCCGCAGGGCGATGTCCGACAGCTCCTTCTTCTGCTCGGCCGTCAGCGCCGGGTACTGGTGCGTCATGGTGGCGGTGGCTGCGAGCACACGGGGGCTGAGTCACCC